TTAAAACAGAAAGAGGTGCTGGGAGTAATCTAGCACTGTAAAACTTAATAAAAATAAAATAAGGAAGAAAAGTCAAAATTTCAAAACTTCAAATAAAATTTTTATTGTAATTAATTCTCTAACATATTTTTGCAGCAGTATAAGCATATACCTCCAGTACTAGTAGTAGTAAAAACAGCTAACATTTATTTGGACTCACACTGTAAGAATAAATTGCAACCATGTATGGTGGCAGGCTCTTGTAGTCCCAGGAGGCTGAAGCAGTAGGTGGCAGACTCTTGTACTTAGGAAGCTGAAGTAGTAGGATCACTTAAGTCTATGAGTTTTAGACCAGTCTGTGCAACATGAGACCCCATCAGAAAAAAAAGTACAATAAATATAAAAATATAGGTTGAAAGAGACAGAAAAAGACATGCTATGTTAACACCACAGAAAGCCAAACTCATCAAAATCTGAAAATTTTTCCAGACAAAAAAGAATTGTGAGCTAGGCACCAGTGGCTCATGCCTGTAATCTTACCTACTTGGGAGGCTGAGATTGGGAGGATCATGGTTCAACGCCAGTCGAGGAAAATAGTAAGACCCCCATCTCAATGGAAAAAACTGGGAATAGTGGTGCAAGACTGTCATCCCAGCTACTGTGGGAAGAAGCACAAATATGAGGAATCAGTTAAGGCTGGCCTGGGCAAAAATCAAGACCCTATCAAAAATAACCATAGCAAAAAGGGCTGGAGGTATGACTCAAGTGATAGAGCACCTGCCTAGCAAGTGCAAAGCACTGAGTTCAAAACCCCAGTACTGCTTCCTCCCTCAAAAAACAGGTAGCATTTTGGCAAATAAAGCTATCTTCCACATGTTTTATATAATACCTTAAGTCCAATTAGTACAATATGAATTAGTGTTTTAACTTTTTAAGAGAAAGAACCAAGCTGGAAGAGGAGAAAGGGAGCAATGGTACTAACAGGAAGGTGGTGTATATATCTATGTCTATGTCTATATCTACATATATGTAGTAGCAGGTCATTTGATCATTTTAAAAGCTGTTTTCTGGCAAAACCATATCCTACTGCCATCAATAATGGGATAATAAAGATGGGAATTAGCCAAAAAATAGGCAAGAATAATCAAAGAATGAGGGAGGCCATTCTTAAAATACAGTAACCAAGCCTATATTATTAGATGACTTAATTGGGCTTTAAAAGTAGCTGTCTTTTATTATACTGTGAACTGAAAAACAATCCTTGTACCCCTTGTCTCTATTCACTGACAGCAACATGAAGAAGTTTCCATAGAAACATTCTGTTCATCTACTGTCTCACCTTATCCAAAGAATAGTCAGTAAATAGTCAATATTATTCATTTTAACAGAGAATTTACTGGTAATAATAGAAGTTACAGTAGAAACATATTCTCAACATAACTTACTAGGGAAAATGAGACATATAAATGAAATTAAAAATATATACTATTTTCATTTTCTGGGAATATTTATCACTGAAACAAATGGAGTAAGGGAACAGAGAATCCTGCAAGTGAATTCTTCCTGGAAGTAAACTGCTGTACATACAGGAATCAAGTACTCCTGACCATTATGTTCACTAATTCTGGTGCACTGAAAACAGTTAGCATCACATTCTTAACTATAATAATCACCAAGCTAATCCCTTCCTCCATAAATGGCCATCTAGACTATCCCCACCACACACTGACTCATCATCAACCCCAGGACACCTATCTGGGGATGTCCTGGATTCAAATATAAGAAGAGAAATGTAAAGAAGTAGAAAACAACAATGTCCTATCACAGATTGGAGGTGTGGCTCAAGTGATAAGAGTGATTGCCTAGCAAGCATGAGGCCCTTAGTTCAATCCCCAGTATCACAACAATATAAATACTTTAATTTTTTTTTGGCAGCATTGGGGTTTGAACTCAGGACCTCACGCTTGCTAAGCAGGTACTCTACCACTTGAGTCACTCCGCCAAGAGTATTTTTTTTTAAATGTCCTGTCACTATATTAAGTTCTGTCTTGTATTCCTTTGAACTGAGCAAAATAAAAAATGACTGCATTAAATCAGACAAAAATAAATCAAAGTGAAAATTCATAGTTTTCATATTTTTCTGGAATGCAAATGTCTTTAAATTAAAACCAACCAGGAGGCTGAGGCAGGAGGATAGTTCTAGACCAGCCTGGGCTACATAGCAAAACCTTGTCTTAAAACACACAAACAGATGAGCCTGAAAAAAAATCTAAATTAATGGATAAGCTAGAACAGAAAGAAAACATGCTCAGTAAATAACTGTGGAATCAACACACAAATTTGCTGAAAATTATTTAAAAAAAACCCAAAACCTCACATTTTCTGCCACTGAGTGGAACAGTGCTAGAAACTGAATAAATTTATTGAAATAGCATCTTATTTCATCTTTAATGAAAAGTTTTGTTTCAAAAAAAAATCACTGAAGGATGGCAGATAACCTATCCTTACCTCTAAAATTTTCAAAGGTCCATTTCCCTTTGGGAATCTACAGACTCTATTAAGGAGTTAACAAAAATTTCAAATTTCAAAAAGCATTCCTGTTCATTTTCTTTTTCTTTTTTTGAGAGGGTGTGGGGAGACTAAGGTTGAACTCAAGCCTTCGAACTTGCTAGGCAGGCAATCTATCCACTCTATCACTTGTGCCCCACCATCAGTCCTTTTTGCTTTACTTATTTATTATGATACTGAGGTTTGAACTCATGGCCTACACCTTGAGCCATGCCACCAGCCCTTTTTTTCGCGAATTTTTTTTTTTTTTTTTTTTGATGTAGGGTCTCTCAAACTATTTGCCCAGGCTGGCTTTTAACTGCGATCCTCCTGATCTCTGCCTCCTGAATAGCTAGGATTATAGGTGTGAGCCACCATGCCCAGCTGCTTTTTTTTTTTTTTTTTTTTTTTTTTTTAGGATTAGGGTCTTGCTTTATGTCCTAGAGGGCCTGGACCAAGATCCCCCTATTTATGCTTCCCCAGTAGCTGGGTTGACTTGCCCAGCTATTGGTTGAGATAGAGAGGTAGGGTGGGTTTCACTAAATTTGGCCTTGAACAATGATCCTTCTGATCTCAGCCTTGGGAGTAATTTGTGCAACAGCACCCAATCATCCCTGCTCAGTTCTGATTGAATTTGTATTTGGGGGGTCACTGGGAGGCAGTTGTAGAATATATTCTACATGGTGAGACAGTGTTTCACCATGTAGCCTAGATTGGTCTGGAATTTGTGATCCTCCTGCTTCATCCTTCTGGGTGCTGGAAATTACAGGCATGTGTTACCACACCTAGTTGTAAAATACATTTTAATTAGCTTTATGATTAAGAAAATATGTCCTCCTGAACAACCTATTTTTATTTCAAAGTCATTTTGGATTTTCATTGTTTTTTTTTTAAATTGTGCTGGGTAGGGATACACTGTGGCATTTACAAACGTTCTTACAGTATATCAAATATATGGTACTGGATTTTCAATGTATTTGTGTTCCCTTCCGTACTGTGACTTCTGGAAAGGCTGCAGTCAAATTTGCAGTCCATCTCCCAGGTATGCAACAGGCTCTCACTGCAGGCATTTTGTGAAGTAATCTTATACACCACTTCATCTCAATCCACCAACCCTTGTTTTCCCATTCCCCCTGATTTCTTCATCCAGTTTTAATATCTTATGGTATCTGTAAGCAGCCTTACATCCTTGGGGAGGACAGTTGCAAATACAGAATAGGAAGAAAACTCTTCTCAAACTCAGGGTGCAGATGTTTTAACATATTTATAATTACAGGGCTTGGTTTTATTTTTAATTTAAGTTGACAACACTGAAAAATCCCATGATTTCATACACAAAGCCCTAGATTCCATCCCTAGGACCCACCCCAGCGCAACCTCGCCACCTCCACCAAATCCCATTTCACATAAAAATCCAGACCTCTCCGGAAAAAAGGTAAAACGTTCTTATTTGGTCAGCATGCAGGTGGGAGCTGAGTACTGAGCAGCAACTGTGGTCTCCAGTGGTTACGGTTCTCTCATCCATTTTCTGTATTTCCTTTTCTTTCTCCTTCTTGGAAAGCAGGAAGAAGAACAAGGGCACAATTCATCCGGCAAGCATTCCGTAAGCCGCTGCTCTGCGCCAGGCCCAGAAATAGGCAAAGAAACAGAGATCTGCGTCCTGAAGGCTATACCTCTTGGTTGGCGGGATATGACTCACCACCACTAAAACGACAGTTGAGCTGTACATAGTTAAATTCTCGCTGGAGGCGTGGCTCAACTGGTCGAGTGCTTCCAAGCCTGTGCGACGCCCAAGGTTCAATTCCCAATACGGGGATGGTGGGGAACTGGACCAAAATACCCCGAGTTGAATAGTTTGAAGGTTGAATAGTTCTTGATGTATTTATTAAGAAATCTAAACTGGGTCCTTCTAAATTAGACACTTGTCAAATTGCGTAAGCAGTCACCGCCTGTTCGCAGACGGGAAAAGAAAATACAGCTAAACCCCGGATTTTAATCTAATCACCTGCAAGTCTTCTCTCCAGGACAAGCTGCAAGCTCAGAAGATATCCTAGTTTCCGGAGCAACGCCCGGCCTCCCCCTTTGGCCCCGCCCCCGAGGCTTTCCCGCCAAAGGCTGTTAACGCCGCGGAGCATGGTGGGACAAGATTCTAGGGTAGGTTTTTACCAGATTCTTCCTAGGCGCCGAGTTGCTTTCAAAAAGGCTCATAACTGGCGAAACTACCCTTGAAGACACAAGTGGGTTTCATAACCTCTTTCACGAGATTATGTAAGTTTTAAAAAAAAAAAAAAAAAAGGGCTGGTCGCTTCCCTAGTCAATCACTCCATAAGCCGGGGTTACGAGGGACTTTTTCCCCTTCATGCGGAGGGTGACGCCGCGCGTGCGCGAGCGTGCTTCTCTCGACACCCGTTACGCTCTTGCGCGTGCGTATTGAGGTCGAATAGCTGCTTCCTCCCGCTTCTCTTCCTCCCTCCCCCCATATCCGTGCGCCGAGCTGATAAAGGCGCCATTTTGGAGGGGCCGCGGGAGACGTGGTGCCGCTGCGGCTCGCTCTGCCGTGCGCTAGGCTTGGTGGGAAGGCCTCTTTTTCGAGTCCGCGCTTTTCGTCGCCGCCATGTCGGGAGGTGGTGTGATTCGTGGCCCAGCAGGGAACAACGACTGCCGCATCTACGTGGGTAACTTACCTCCAGATATCCGAACCAAGGACATTGAGGACGTGTTTTACAAATACGGCGCTATCCGTGACATCGACCTCAAGAATCGCCGCGGGGGACCGCCCTTCGCCTTCGTTGAGTTCGAGGACCCGCGGTGAGGCAGCATGGGGCTTGGGGGCCTTGAGGAAATAGGCTGGAGTACTGGTAGTTGGGGAAGGCTCCGAGGCCTTAACATAATGGGGAAGGAGGGGCTCTTTAGGCTGGGGGCGAGGCGCTCTCGCCCCTGCAGGAATCGGGTAAGGAGCCGAGTCGGTGGGGCGTCTGGGGTGGTCGGGTGCCTTGCACGTCCCCGCGGAGCCCACGCGCAGGTCCGTAGCGGGAAACTGAGGCGCGGAGGGCTGGCTAGGTAGTGACCAGCCTGGCGTGTCTCCGGGTGGGGGAGGGGCCGCCCCATTATGCAGCGCATGTGGGCCCGTCCGCCCTGGGTGCGCATGTGCGGGGCGGCCGAGCTGACTTCTCCCGCGGGTCCCTCTCTCCTCTCATCCCCTCCGCCTTCTGTGATCACGCAGGGACGCGGAAGACGCGGTGTACGGTCGCGACGGCTATGATTACGACGGGTACCGTCTGCGGGTGGAGTTTCCCCGGAGCGGCCGCGGTACAGGCCGAGGCGGCGGCGGGGGTGGAGGTGGTGGAGCTCCCCGAGGCCGCTATGGCCCCCCATCCAGGCGATCTGAAAACAGAGTAGTTGTCTCTGGTGAGTCTCCCCCTCTTGTGAGTTCCTAGTGTGTCCTTAACATAGCCGGTGCCTAAGTGCTAGATGTTTATTTAAATTACTTCAGGTGGCGGGGTGCTGAATTCAAGTCAATTAAAAAAAATAAATAAATATTTCTGTGGTGGTGATTTGCCCCAGATTAGGTTTCGGTACTAGAGTATGAAGGTCCTTTACAAATAAATTTGGACTCTGGATCTCAGAATCTTACCAGCTCTTTACCTGGAAGCACTTAAGTACAATCAAGTATTTTAAAGTAATCTTTGTTCTCATGTGCATTGTAAATCTCACGTGAAATTGAGGAGAATCAATATTAAGGGGGGGGGAAATAATCACTTTTTCAGGACTGCCTCCAAGTGGAAGCTGGCAGGACTTAAAGGATCACATGCGTGAAGCAGGTGATGTATGTTATGCTGATGTTTACCGAGATGGCACTGGTGTCGTGGAGTTTGTACGGAAAGAAGATATGACCTATGCAGTTCGAAAACTGGATAACACTAAGTTTAGATCTCACGAGGTAGGTTATACACTTAATTCTTTTCTTTGGCCAGAATTGGATACAGTGGTCTTAACAGTGAAGTGCGAAGGTAAGAATTCAGGCAAGGGTGTCCAAGTAAATGCCAGATACCTGGTTTTAGTTACTTTGTGTTCATTCAGCATGCCTGAAGACAGGTGAAAGCTTAGATCTTTCAATGGAAAGTTCTGTCTATCCAATAGGGAGAAACTGCCTACATCCGGGTTAAAGTTGATGGGCCCAGAAGTCCAAGTTATGGAAGATCTCGATCTCGAAGCCGTAGTCGTAGCAGAAGCCGTAGCAGAAGCAACAGCAGGAGTCGCAGTTACTCCCCAAGGAGAAGCAGAGGATCACCACGCTATTCTCCCCGTCATAGCAGATCTCGCTCTCGTACATAAGATGATTGGTGACACTTTTTGTAGAACCCATGTTGTATACAGTTTTCCTTTACTCAGTACAATCTTTTCATTTTTTAATTCAAACTGTTTTGTTCAGAATGGGCTAAAGTGTTGAACTGCATTCTTGTGTAATATCCCCTTGCTCCTAACATCTACATTCCCCTCATGTCTTTGATAAATTGTATTTTAAGTGATGTCATAGACAGGATTGTTTAAATTTAGTTAACTCTCCATGCTCTTCAGACTGTGATATTGTGTAATTGTCTATTCTGCTCTGGTTTGTGTGAACTGGGATGTTGGGGGTGTTTGTGGTTATCTTACCTGGGAAAGTTCTTATGTTTATCTTGCTTTTCATGTGTCTTTCTGTAGACATATCTGAAGAGATGGATTAAGAATGCTTTGGATTAAGGATTGTGGAGCACATTTCAATCATTTTAGGATTGTCAAAAGGAGGATTGAGGAGGATCAGATCAATAATGGAGGCAATGGTATGACTCCAAGTGCTATTGTCACAGATGAAATTGGCAGTATTGACCTTATACTAAAAAGGCAAAGATTTAAAAAATGATTATATGTAGATCTACCTTAAAACACGTGCAAACATGCAGTTAACTTTAGCTACAATTGCTTTGCTCTTTAAACCTTGGCAATTGTGGCAAAATTACCTTGCCCATTTTGTAACAAGTTATTTTGCTCCCTTCCCCCTTTTTTGTTTTAATAGGGACTAATGTGGGAAGAACTGGCTAATTTGTCACAATGCTTAGTTACAACTGTTAATGTGTGACCTGCTGTTGGTGTACATGTGGGTACAGGGTGTCTTTAATTCCAACCAGATAGAGTATAATATCAATACTGCTAAATCTGCATGTCCTCTGTGTGACTGATAGAGCGTTGCTTTTTCATTTTTTAAGACAAAATGACAGCAAAATATAGAATTCCAATGTATTGGTGTAGATAATATAGTGGGGAGTACTTTTAAGTCTCACCTTCCCCTTTAAACTAATATTCATAATTGACTCATGTTTAAAACACTTTAATTTACAAATTAAATTGCAAATGGGAGCATTAGATTTAGTTTAGACTTAGGTGGGTAGCAAATACCAGTAAACTTCTCAGCTACATAACTTTTTGCATCCACAAAACCTGTAATACGCTGTACAGTAACAAGTGTTGACATTATCAGTTGAACTGTAAATATAAAATGCTTCTTCCAATTAGTCTCTATGATGATTAAGTTTCTAAAGTTTATCTGAACACCATACAGAAACTTGTTTTGGGGAATTTGATAGTTATTGATGTACATCTGTAAAACTGATGACAGACATAACTCATCATTCCCCAGAAACCTTTTTTGATTACAGTATCTAACATTTTGCCTCCTCTTTTTTGGTTTTGCTGGTTATAAAGGTTTGGATTGGAGAGGGCTCACTGGATCCCAATCCTTGGAGCTGGATCATTGGATTCAAATCATAATGTGGATAGGATAGGGAGGATGAATTACAAGGATTCATGGAGCGGGATCAGATTACCAGGAACATAGGAGTGGATTCCTGCCCCAACCAAACCGCATTCGTGTGGATTTTTTTTTTTTTATTCAACTTAATTGGCTATTCCAAAGATTTTTTTTTTTCCTATTTTTGACGATTGGAGCCCTTAAGATGCACGATGGAATTGTATTTTGCATTTTTTGGTAAAAGGAGCAAAGCGAGGACCTGGAGATAATACGCTGGAGCAATCTCCTTGGAAGGATTCAGCACGAGTAGATGGTAAACATTTAAAGGGGAAAGGGGGGGTTTGTTTAAAATAGTAAATCAGTAAGTCACTTCTAAATTTAAAACAAAATTGGAGTTGAAGAATAAGTAGGTTTCCAATTGGCTATTGCCGTTTTTCTTTGAAAAAATAAACATTTTTTTAAAAAACTATGCATGGTTGTCCTTTTTCCTCTTCATGTAAGATTGTAACTGGGTAACTAGTCTTATCAGTTAATTCTTTAAATTGATAAGATTCTGACTTGTGTTTGTTAGTAAATTAAACATTCTTAAAAGGCAATCTAATAAGTGGTATTAACCATCTCTTACTGTTAATTGTGAAAATCCTAAAGGGATGATTAAGAATGCCTTAAAAGGCAGTTCCATATGTAGTAATGGCAATGCGAGATGATTGAGTCTGAAAGAAACTTTCCATACTTGCTAAAAGAGTGATTAAAACTTAACAGATACTTCCTATCTTGGTGATTTTTTGGGTAGACTTGTGCAGAATTAGTTGATAGCTAATAAATTAGTATTAACTTGGAGATAGCCTTTGATATGCTCAGTGAAACTCAAAAATTACATATTGAATGTTAACTTTAGCATACATGTATTAGAACTCAATCACATTTGCTTTTTGAAATGTTAGCAGTATGTCAGAAGATGGGCTATTTGGGTGAGTCTTGGCTTTTAAGCCTTCTCAACCATCAGGTTGTTATGTTCAAAAGCAGTAATTATATCTTGTACTCTACAAATGCTTACATCTTTTTACTGACATCTTGCTTAAGTTGTACAACAGGAGCTTTATTTAAAATTCCCAGTCTTCTCATTTCCTCATAGCTAGTTAAAATGAACAAATTACTAATTTCTGTATCCAACAGAAATAACTAAATCTTTAACTTTGCCCTTGGGTGCTAATCACAGTTGCAAGCTGAATTTAAGATGATTGTTCAGGTGACATAATTTAAAATCTAGAGAAAGCTAGCAATCTTTATAGTGGGAGAATGGGGTCCAGGCGAGATTTGCGTAAGATCACCTAGCCAGTATATTTTAATGAGCTTTCTAGAATGGCAGGAGGAATAGAAAACTAGGTTTTCATTGTAAAGCAGTTAGTGTAGGTTCATTAATGTTAAGTAGTTGTAGTAGTTAGGAATTCAAAGTACAATGACCAAGAAACTTGCTCTCTTAATTCTGAAGGTTTATATAATGTGCTTGAAGTTAAGTTTTTCATGTGTAGAATATTTTTAGATACATCAGCTTATTAAAGGGAAACTACAAAATGACTGATTAAGAAAGATTAATGCAAGCTAGATTTAATCAAACCTGGGTTTATTGAATATTTTGCAAAGGGGAACAAAATGGAAATGACTTTTACTGAAAGTTGTCTATTTAAGCTAAGTTAAATGTGTCCTAAAAGTTGTAATAGTTCTAACCCCAGGTTGAAATGAGAAAGTAGTATCTGCTGTGTAGAATTTGAGTTTGAAGATTATAGAGAGGACTTCTTGCTTATGAAAGGTAGAGAGGTGTAGATTCTTATAGTTAAGATGATCAGGCAGCTAAAATTGAGACAGGAGAATAAAGCCTGTTCTTTTTTAGTCTTAGGAAATGGACCTCTACCCATATTGGCAATTAGTAGAAGAAAGTCACAGTCTTGGAACTAAAAAGCCTTCTTGAATTTTTCCTTTCTATGTCCCATTAGAATATTGTAGGGAACCTATGATTAGTTTATTTTCTAACCAAGAAAGCACTTAAGTTTCTAAGAAGCAATTACTTTTCATAACATCTGATTGAATAATTCATCTTGCTGTTCAGCCCACATCCTCCTGGAGATAAAAGGTAAGAAACCCTTTTTCTGATTCCTAATTGTTTGGGATCTGAATCTTAGAAGACTAAATTTTTTAAATGTATGGAATGTAATTCCCCTTACTTCAATGTTTTTCTCTTAAGTTTTATTCTTTAATTTCAAGTGTCCATAAGTCCACCCATCTTAGTGCTTAGTTCAATATAATTAGTTCTAGAATTAGCTTTTCTAATTTATCTATGAACCATGTTTTGCTCCTTAGGGCTGGTGTAATTTTTAGGTTTCTGTGGTGAATTTTTACGTTTGCCTTTTTTGCTTTGTATATGAAATTTGTAAGAAATTACAAATGAAATGTATGTATTTACTATATAAATAGTATTAAAAGAAGAGAATGTATCAGACTGAAGTTGTTACTTAACCACCTGTGGCTTATTACGATAACAATATGAAGAGCAAAAGCAGATTCACAATCTCTTCACAATTTTGAAGTCTTCAAAAACCCTGGATAGATTTGTTCATTAATGCCAGTTGAATGTAAAAGCTGACTAGAATTGATCCCTTCACTTTCATTACACACTGAGAGCACCATGAACCCCAAATACATCTGCCCTCAAGAGTTCACATAAGGGATTGTAGAACTGTACTAGAACATGCAGGCTTAATGCTGTGTGTGATTGTGGGTGTGAGTAAAAACAAGCCTGTTACTTTATATTTAAGATTTAAGTTCTCCATCTTTTAGGCCATTCTGCTGCTAGAAGAAAAAGTATGACCCACATTGTATCCTGTTACTACAGTAGACTCAGTTACACTTCATAGGAAACGTTCATCTACCCAGACTGTAGTACAATACTCTGTTTCGAGGGATTGTTTCTGCTTCATATAAACATTAATCTGATCCTGTGGGAGAAAGGCTAGAATTAAAAGGAAGGTAAAGAGAAGGAAAAGATTGCTTATGTCTATTGTGATTAGTGAACAGATAGTAATCGTGGCAAGATAATTTGTGCCTTAGACCTAAACCCATAAAGTTACAGGGTTTCAAGCCAGCACTTATTTCTGTGATGGAGAATTTTGGAGTGCTTGCTATCTTTGAAAGCTGTATGCCTGATAACCCTGAAGGTAGTTATGTTTGTAAGATCAAGGAAAGGCTTTTTTTTCTCTAATAAAAATCACATGGTGCTTCTACTTGGTACTTGGAAAATAAGGTAAATAGATTAGTTTTTGTCATATGAAAGTTAATTGTAGAAATAACCTTGGTTTACAGTTTTTTTGGGGTTGGGGGTGGCTGTGCTGGATATTTGAACCCAGGCCTTCACCTGTTAGGCAAGTGTTCTACCACTGAGGTGCATCCTCAGTTTATAGTACATTTTAATATGTGTTAGGTTGAGTTATCAAAGGGAGAGAAGTTATACATGCTGTTTCATAAGCAGATCACCATTTAGGTAAGTAAAATATGAAATAAGAGCTTAGCTGTGCCTTTATCATCTTAGTACAAATAGTTGAAGCACCAGGTTAAATGTCTTAGCAGTACTACTAAGTACTACTAAGTATCATCTGTCAGTTACTGATTAGAAGTGTATCAATACAGAGCTGTAGGGCACTGCTCAGCTCTACCGTGTATACTTTGAACAAATGTAGGGATGTCAGATGAGTAAATTTTTACAATGTTGTCTTTCATTCTCCATTGGAGTATATGATAGGAAAAATCATATAGCCACTAGAGGGAGCTTTGACACAAGCCAGGAAATTATCCCTACTGTAAAGAATCCTTACAGGAGTGAGGAGACCAATTACCTTGATCTGGATCAGCAATAAAATTAGATGGTTTGGGTAAGTTTCCTTACTATAGCTTTACTATTGCCTTTTTGTCTGTTGAGTGATACCCTTTCTCTTTCAACAGCTTGATCATTTTAGGTTTTGAATAGTGCTTTAGAGGTACCCAACTTCTGTAAATCAGAAGATGTGCTCATGGATATACATCTGCTTATATTTCTGTCTACCTTCTTACCTCTAGGCAAGGCCAGGAATGTAAGAATTGGGAGTAGCAAGGCCCATTGTGCTACAAAAATGAAAAGATCTAGGCATAATCATGGTTATGTACAAGGAAAAATGTGCCTTTTGTATATGTGTGTGTGTATAACTCCTTTTTGTTGCTGAATAAGATAGCATTTTTATTTCCTAGGTTTTGTATTTTGTAATCAGAATATTAGTACAGATCTCTTGACATGTTTAATGGCATTTTAAGAGCTAGAAATTGAAAGTAAAAGTTTTAGTGTTTGTCATTCTAGTTCCCCCTGCCCCCAAGTTTGTATTATAAAAATGGAAGGGACACAAACATACTTCCTGTTTAAAGTATTAAATTATCACTAATAATACTATGTTAAAAGTTTTAAACCCACTTGATGGGAATTAGTTATCTAGAAGGTGGGTATAGGAATACTGGCGTTAAAACAGTATTAGAAACTTGTCTGTTTTGAAAAATAAAAGTAGACAAAGAAATTAGGTTTTTGTCTTTGTTTTTTTGGCAGGGGAGAAGAAATTGACCAAGTTTACACAATAGGAAGAATTTCCCTACCTGATGAGCTAATATTCAGCAAGGGAGGCTACAAAAAAAAGGTAGTTGCTCACTAGTAGATTTGCTGCAAGTTGGGTTGCGCCTGTCTTTAATTTAAAAAAAAAAAAAAAAAAACTTACCTTGGTGTGGTGGCGCACTCTAGTAATCCTAGCACTTGGAGAAGCTGAAGCAGGAGGATTGTGAGTTTGAGGCCAGCCTAGGCTACATAGATTGCTCAAAAAAAAATGCTGATTCTGGTGTCCTTTTAATCATTTAACTTGAGAAAGATAGACCCAAACTAACATCTAACCAGATTGTCTTTTACATAGATACCAATAAACCAAATTTCCCACAACTTTTATATATGTCAAAAGAAAAAGCAAGAAAAAAATAAGATAAAGACTTTAGATACAGTGTAGTTTAAAACAAACCACAAGGGGCCTTTGATTTCTGCAGAAACCATGTAGCTTCTAATGGATCCTGTTAAAAAAAAAATGTAGGCCCCCACCTGCTAATTCCACTCACACTCCCACCAGAAGGAGGCACCTTGGGATGAAGACTGTCATCAGGGACTTTTTTCTTTCTTTCTTTCTTTCTTTTTTAATATCCCCATCTTTAAAAAGAGTCAAGCTTTATTATATAATTTACCTTTATTTACTAGAAGCAAACATTTTTTTCCCCCAAAGTAAAGTTTCTGCAAAAATGCACTGGAGAAAGAACCACAAACAAAAATTCAGAATTTCCTTTGTAAAAGAGAGGGGCTAAACTTAGATTGTTAAAATGCCAGAAGGCATAATGAAATTGGTCCACAGGGTGTTGGGCTTTAGAGAGCCTTTAAGTTTGGGACATGCTTTCAGTTTGTAGCAATAATTAAGGTTTAAAATTTAATACATAGGCATGGACTGCAGCATCTCAAATAAGAACTTTACAGCCTTTAAGTGGAACTGAAACGCCTAAGCTAAATATCTTACCCTTAACAGTGGCATGCCTAGAAATTTGAGTCACAAAATACTAAGAGTGATGTAGAGCAAATGGTAGAGCACCTGCCTGCCAAGTGCCGAGGCCTTAGGTTCAAGCCCCAGTACCACCAAAAAGAAAATGTAGAATGTTGATAAGCTGTACAGCACGGATACTATAAAAAGAAACCAGACCAGGTAGTAAATTATAGCAATAGTAAAGTTCTGTGTCTTAGCCCCAGTGCCATTGCATCTATAACTGAGGCCAAAGTAGAAGTCTTGCTTACTTGGCAGGTGGTTTTGAGACACAGTCAGTCACACTGTGTAATCCAGGTTGGCCTCAAACTCAATCTTCCAGCCTCCCATAGTGCTGAGATTATAGGTGTTTGCCAATGTGTGGGTATCTTTTTTTTTTTTTTTTCAGAATTTGCTGCTTGGATTTGTCATCCATCTCCATTTGCCATCCAGTCTATATACCCAAATTCATTACTAAAGTGTTTTAACTGGTTCAGTGTTAGTCCTGACTAACACTGTCAAATCTGACTCTTAATGTGAATCAGTGAATATTCTGCCTTTCAGTGTATCACTATCACATCTCCTTGACTGGTAAATACTGATCATGTTTGGTTTTGCTTCTGTGTTTCTGGTTATAGGTTCAGGCTCTTCCCCTCCTTACACCCCTAACACACTCTCACTTTAGCGATCTTGCTTCAATCTTAATTCTCAAAGGTTCAACTCAAGTCGTACTTCATTGAAAAATATATAAGAAGCAAGCTGCTAAAATACTTTAATAGCGATTTTCTCCAAATGCATTTAGTCCCCTCACAATTTACCTTAACTATTGAATGTTTTGCATGTACTAATTTAATAGAACTTTTGTAACACTCATTTTCCTAGTGAACTAAATGCATTGCTGACCCAGGTTAATAAGAATTGATTGAAAGGAGATGGGAATAACTTGGTATTCCCTAAAAGCTATCGAAGTCTGTATTTCACAACTTGCTGGTTAACTGTGAGTGGATTATTGGAGAAAGTATTTTAATCCTAACCTTAGATTAGGTAATTCTTCAGATTTGAAGCCAGGAAATTCAAATGCTAGCATAAGCCCAAGTACAATTGGAAAAGTAAATGTTGCTCCCAAAAATTAGTCTTGCAAAGTAAAAAAGTCTTGTAAGATAGATAATATAGACCATAAAAATTGGTATCATTAAGCCAGGACTGGTGACATTGTAATCCTAGCCTCCCAGCATTGGAGTGGCTGAGACAGGATTGTGAGTTTGAGGCAAGCCTGGGCTACCCATCAAGACCCCGTCTCAAGAAAACAAAACAGACAGGCACTGGTGGCTCTCGCCTGTAATCCTAACTACTTGGGAGACAGATAGGGTGGAGTATCTCCATTTGAGGCCATCCTTGGCAAATAGTTTGTGAGACCCCATCTTCAAAATAACCAAAGCAAAAATGTGACTCACGTGGTAGAGCACCTGCTTTGCAAGCATAAATCCCTGAGTTCAAACCTCAGTCTCTTCAAAATAAGTAAATATGAATTGATGGCGTCAGCTTGGCATGGTGGCTTACATCTGTAATCTCAGCACTTGGGAGGTTAAGGCAGGCGAATTACCACAAGACCCTGTCTCAAGGAAAAACAAACATAAAAGCTAATAAGCATTTCTTTTGCTTCCTCATAGATCTCCTTTCCATATCTTTCTTGAGCTTGATTCTTAGAGAAGAAACCTAAATCACCTCTGAACATAGGTGATCCTGCCTCAGTGAGAATCCCCTGCAGACTTCAGACTTCTCATAGGGGTTGAAATTAAAATTATCTTTTTTTTTTTGATCAGTAAGTGTTAAGAGGAATCCATACATTAAAGGGTTTATTTTTGAGTCAGGGTCTCTATATAGCCCTTAGATCCTCCTGCCTTACCTTCCCAGGGACTGGTATTACAGTCTGCACCACCATACCCTGCATACATAATTATTTACTGAAGAGATGGATAGTATGTTACTTTGTTGGATGAGGAAAAAGCTTAACTGAAGTTAAACTTCAGGACCCAGACCCTAGTCTTTAGGCTGATAAAAGACCAACTAGCTGAAGCATTTCTCAAGTAGAAGTCTAGCATACATATATTTCAACTCTCCATGCCTCAAATCCCACAAGTAGCCCCATTCCTTCAGTTAAAAGTTTTTCCACCCCTTGATCAGCTAATACCTGAAGCATTCTTGAAGTGATTGCATTCTATTTCTGCTTTGCTTTTCTTCAGCATGTTTATATAATAGTGTGTCATATATGCATGCACTTACCTGTCTCCTTAAAAATGTCTATAGTTTCGTGTGTTTTGTTTCCCCTAGCTACATAGTAAACTCTGAAAACTATGGTTATTTAACTTCCAACTTTTCTTTCAAGATGCCCAGTATGCTAGTGCACACACCTTAGTGTTTGGGAATAAATAAATTAAATGAAATCCAAGGCAGGTATGGTGCCTTGGCTTAGATCTGAAATTCAGTGTGCTCCTCTGACCAGAACTGGCTTATTCCCAGAGTAGAATCTCAAGGATTTATGCTCTTTAATCTTGCTATTTTTTTTTTAATGGAAAAACTCTGAGGGAAAATGAATACCTGATGTTTCTGGTGTTTTTGTTATTGTTTTGGTTTTTGGTAGTACTGAGGTTTGAACTCAGAACCTTGCACTTGTTAGGCAAGAGCTGTAGCACTTAAGCCCTTTTTAGGGTCTCTTGCTTTTGCTGAGGGCCAGTCTCAGACCACGGTCCTCTTAATCTCTGCCCCCCAAGTAGCAAAGCCATGATGTTTCTTAAAGTAATGACTGACTCTTCATATACATTGATATATTTTAATCCTCAAATACTATTAGCCTTATTTTGCTGTTTAAGGAAACAGCTTTAGAGATGCTGAAGTGGCAAGATCAAAACTTGAACCCAGATCTTAATGGGGTTTGAACTCAGGACCTCAAACTTGTTCAGCTCTTACCGCTTGAGCCACTCACTCCTCCGCCAGCCCTCACTGCTTTTTTAGCCAGTCTGCCTTTTCTAGTTGAGAGGCTCTTTAAGGGGAGAAAAGTCTTGACTTGGTGAATACCAGCTGTAATAGCAACCTGATGCCACCAGGGTGTCCCATGGTGCTGTCTTTGACCCAGGAAGAGCTGAGGGCTCTTCAGACCAGTTCATGTAATTAGATTGGCTACTGCCCAGAGCCCAGCCCCAAGACAGTAGAATGCTTGACTCCCTGGCTTCCTAGTGTGCAGTACACAGCCAGATCTCAGAGAAGCCTTTGCCCTTTTTTGGCCCCTACTAGTCAAACTGGCCCCATGAAAGGACAGCAGGTCACGTAGAGGTCAGGGCTTAGCTAGCCACCCAGTAACTCAGCAGCAACCTATAAAAGATAACAGGATACAAAAGAATCTGAATGGGTAGATGCCTATATAACTGCATTTATTTTGATAGCCAAGTAAAATTTGTATCAGTGAAAGAGCCACAAAAGCAAACAGATTGAATCATGCTTAGGTGAGTTTCAAAAGCCAGTGTGTGGTGACTTCCCATTTTCCAGTTTTTAATAAAAATATTTGCAGCCTTATAGGACCAGTTTTTATATTCAGCCTGAGGTAGTCTACAGTGTCAAAGCCATCACTTATGTGAGAGCCAATAAGTTGAAGTCTTAGATTTGGTATTACATAGGGAGCAAATAACCCCTTTAAATTTTTTGCCTCCTTCCCAGTGCTCCTTAATTACTTTATACAAATGTGTTACTGGTTTTTAAGTCTCAATTTCTCTATTGGAGAAGATCCTTAAAAGTATTTCCAATGCCTAATATAGCACCTAGTATTTAGTAAGTGCTCAGTAAATATTTGCTTACCGAGATAGCAATACTTCCATAATAATTCTGAGAGTTCTATGTGAGCCATTTTTCTAAGGAGAACGGTCTTTGTTTTGTCTTCAAGCTGATTAAAATTCAAGGTGAACTGGAAAGCTAGTGCCTAGAATGTCCTGGCTGGCCTTTCAAAATGTTCAATGCATTGTTCTGTGTTGGAATTCTCATGACCTCAGTTTGGGATTGTGTCTAAGCTGTTTCTCTTAGGTGACATCTATGTGGTCTCT